AATTTAGCACACAATCCCAAATCATCACCCAAAAATCAAGCAAGCCTTGAAACCTCAACCTAAACATATATTCAAAATCATTTCAAAACTCTAAGGATACATGTGAAAATCTCAAAATGAGTAATTTACTTCCGAATGTCGCCTAGACAATGAGATATTTAAAAAATTTTATTCCATTAAGTTTTTCAAAAAGGTCCTTAATTCGCTTTAACAATGAGGTTAATAACTAATTAATAATAAAATGAGATCTTAAATATGAATAATCACACATAAACTTCGTCTAGATATTGAGAAGTCAATGTGGTCTCATTATATTTAAAAATTCAATTTTTAAGTTTGCATTTCATCATCATACACAGCACCTATTGGCTTACATTCATTTATTTGTTATTGTTTGCACTCGCTTACATTTCTTTGTCTTTAATTTTTACTTGCTATCTGATAATACCATCATTTACTTTTTCGTACAAAATATTTTTTTTTAATTTACTTAGTTTTAAAATTATGATATTATAAAATAAGATAAAAATAATATTATAGAGAAAATAATTCTTGGTACTCTATCTAGATGTTAGAGAGTAACTAACAATTATTTTCTACAAAAAATATTATTTTTGTTTTAAAGAATATTGTGTTAAATCTTAAATAAAAAGAGTTATTTTAAATTTTACCTAAATGTTAAAGAATTTTAAGAAAATTCTTTAACTTAAAGATTTTCTCAATATTTTTAAATAAAGAATTTTAACAAAAAGTTATTTTAAAATGAAAGGAATTAGTATTAAATTTCAAATCGAAACCATTTCATCTAATACTAAAAATAACACATAATTAATTCGTACCAATTTATGGGTATTATGAGGGTGCTAATCCTTCTCCACGCATAACCGACTCATGAACTCAGGATCCGTTTTCGTAAACCAAAATTTATCTTTTGATAAACTTTAAACTCGTTTTTATAGTTTATTTAAAAGATAAACTTTTGTGTGACCAATCACACCCTAAAAAAAATTAGTGGCTACTCTTTTTATTTTTTCTCAATTTTAAAATTTCTTACGTTTGACGGTCTCAAAATTATTATGACGGTATCATATCAACTTGATCACATTGTTATTATCCTCAAATGATCCTTTATCTATTATCTATAAATATAAATGTTCAAGTATCTCTAAAGTAAGTTTTATCTACTCCCTATCTTTTATATTACTCTTTTTTTTATCTCACTTATATTGATTTACACGTCAAAATATAAACATAAAAAACTCTATCTACATTTATATCTAATCATTTTTTAAAAATTTTATGCTCTTTCAAGAATATCTCCATATTATATCTCAGCATCAACAAGTATATTTAATAATAATGAACCGTAAAATCAAAGTTCAACATTAAAATAAAAAAATATACTCGTTTCACTTTCATTTTTTGTCTTGTGTGTTGGATTGCTAAGTTTTGTACAATAAAAGTAAAATGCTTATTTGTTTTTTTTAATTTATTCCTCATTTTATCTCTCATTTATCAAACAATTTTAGAAAAGATTTGCTTAGAAGTTAGACTAATTTTTACACTTGTAAGCTTGACATGATTTGAGTTAAGTTTTAAATAAATATTTTTGAGTTCATTTTTATTTAATTTTTATTTTTAGTAACAAGATGCGAAGTTAATTTTAGAATTGATTATTTTGAATTAATACAAAATTTAATATAAACACTATCTAAATCTTTTCGATGTGAAAAGATTTATCTCATATGAAATGAAAATCCAAATCCATTTGCTTTGGAAACCTTTGTATATCATTTTTAGCAAGTTTGTAAAAGTATTTTGCTGAGACCACACACACGCACAAGCATTATTTTTTTCTATTCTTTTCCTTTTTAAACTGCTCCAATTCTCCTGTTTTTAAGCAGACAAACATAAAGGCTTAATGATCTCTAGTTTGTGAGAAAATTAATGATAAAAGTAAGGTGATGGGAGTCGTGTAGGCGACGGATATATCCATGATGTCTTTCAATTATGTATTTAACTTCCTAAGACACGCTAGGATTTGGAACAGATATGCAAAATTAAGACATGAAAGCAACAGGCTAGTCAGGGCAGTTTCTCATAACTAACATTGAGAATGATTGAGAAAATGACATTGGAGTTGAAGTGAAGATCTCATAATTATCAAATAATCCCTTGTTTAATTAACATTCATCACTTCCACTATGGCCTTGCCCTATGGCCTTCTTCTATCTTTCCTTACAACGCTTCCGGTCTTTTTGCCACTTCTCCTAACATATCCATCCCTGTTTGGTTAGTGCGGTTGTTCCAACTGAAGATTTTGCTTTGCTTTGGATAGGCTCCCCCCTTCCGCAATCCCCCAAAGGCTACCAAACTCTTGGCTGATGTTGACTTATAATTAGATGGAAAGAAAAAACTTCATCCCCAAGGTGTTTTGGGTTGAGTCTTTTATTTACGAAATTGTGTTTAACACCTTTTTTTTAATGTTTTTCTTCATTCTGCTGCAAAACTCAATTTTTGAATGGAAAACCATTTAAGAAAGGAAGCCTTTTTCTGTTGAGTTACAGGCAAATTTGGTTGGGATGCTTTGAATATGTTTATTCATTGGATGTGTTAGAGCTTGGAATATAAGTTGTACTATACTCGTTTACGTGAAAGCAGTGAATGATAATGTTGGAACCAACCAAATTCACTTTTGAATTTTGAATCAAAATTAGTAATCTTGTCCTTTCAACTTTAGCTGCAACGAAGAAGAGATAAAAATATTGAATGTAAGAAAAGAAACACACCCACAAATTAAGAAATAAAAATAATGAGTTCTACCATATCAAAAGTTAGGAAGGTTCCAATTCCATCCTTCTAATTAAAAAATTGAGGTTTCCATGTAAAAGGCTTAGACATGGGTTGTGTTCTGCCAAAAAAATACAAGTTGGGTTTAGATGTTGGATAATGACCAACCCATGGATCTAGCGAATTATGATTAGGCTACCAAAGGTACAATCCATGGGCCTATCATCTCAATAAGAGCTCCATTTGTAATCGGAAACAAACAGCCCATCAATGAAGCTACAGAATAACTCCAGATTGGGAATGCATAGAAGATGCGTCTGATGACAAGCTTTGAGTGTCCTTTACATCTAAAAATACAATCGAAAGTTCCTGTGCTCCTACACAATGAAAAACCAACCCTGGAGTCTCCTATTATTCTCAAATACATTGCTGAAACTTGGATAGGCAATGCAATTTTGCCTGAAGATACTCATGTGCCAAGTTCATAGATGAGAACGTAAGATTCAATTACCAATTATTGGAAACACTGCTTCTTTTAATTCTGATAAGAGGGAGAATAAGCAATTGACGTCGGCACGTTGCCCTCTACAATCCAAACATTTGCCAAAGACCTGTCTATCTAGAGGTTGGACTTGATATGCTCAAGAAAAGAGGCTTCAAGGGCCCGGTTTAATTTTAAGCTGACGCACCATCTTACCTCGTGCAATTTTTTTTTCCTCTCTCATTAATGCACATTGACTGGGCTACATTAATTGAACTTTCCTGGATGTTCACTGCTTGTCCCTCCTAACTTCCGATTATGTTGAAAACTTCAAGATTCTAACAACTGCGCTCTCATTTGACCGTCACTGATTAAATAAGGATGATGACAGCAAGCTATCATATCTTCCTCGCTAAGAAAACTAGGAAATCCTCCCTCTATAAGTAGCATCAAGCCATAAGTGTTCTACTAAATGTGGAAAAGTCTGACGTCATGTCTGAAGAAGTTAAGGTTTTTGGAGCTTGGGGAAGCCCTTTCAGCCGCAGGGTAGAGCTTGCTTTGAAGTTGAAGGGTGTTCAATATGAATACATAGAAGAGGATGTCTATAACAACAAAAGCCCTTTGCTTTTGAAATACAACCCAGTTCATAAGAAAATCCCTGTCCTCCTCCACAATGGGAAGCCAATTGCGGAGTCACTTGTTATACTTGAATACATTGAGGAAACTTGGAAAGGCAATCCCATTTTGCCGGAGGATCCTTATGAGAAAGCCATGGCTCGGTTCTGGGCTAGGTTCCTCGATGAGAAGGTAGTATTTTATCATTTAATCACTTTTAAACAGCTCAGATTTAGAAATGGGCCTCACCTGGCAAAATTTGTTTATGGGTTCAATTTGACCCATTCAAACTTCATATATAAAGGTCGTGAACCAATTTTTAAGCCATAATCGTATTTGTTGACTTGTTTGTATATAGTGCCTGCCTGCACTATGGAACGCTGCGTGGAGCCCCGAGAATGAGCGAGAAAAGTCGGTGGAAGAAGCTTGCGACTTTCTAAAAACGCTTGCAAGTGCGCTGAAGGGGAAAAGATTCTTTGGGGGAGATACAGTTGGATTGGTAGACATTGCTGCCAACTTTATTGGCTTTTGGCTTAGGGTCCTTCAAGAAGCTACAGGACAGGAGTTGCTGTCAGCTGAAAAATTCCCTGACTTGGTCAAATGGACCAACGAGTTTGTAAGTTGCAGTGTTGTTAAGGAAAGTCTGCCTCCCAGAGACAGACTTTTGGCCTTTTTCAAGGCTCGCGTTGCTGGAGCTATGGATGCGCAAACTAAAGCCTCCAAATGAACGTTTTCCCAATGATTCTCGCTTGCTTTTGCCTTGGCTCAATTACCTGGTTTTCTGTGTAATATTAGTTTGTTTTCAAATGTTGCAACGTGCATGTGTAAGGTGTTACTTGCTATCGTTTCTGGGCCAGAAAGGCAGAAATTAATAAATGAACATGTTAAAGATAATTGAAGTATCTTCAATTGAGCATTGTCGAGTTTATCCATGCACCTAGCTTGTGATCAATTTAAAATTAAAGTGTCAAGCCATGTTGCAACAGCACAAATTCATAGATCTTGGTCTTTCCATCTGCCCATGTCAAAATGGAAGAAAAAAAGTACTACAAAGTATCCCAAATTTGAAAGAGAGGTCATAATATGGACAAGAGAAAGCTGATTATTATAGCCAATCAGCTTTTCCTCAACATGAGGAATATGATTTCGATAGTAGGGCCATAAATCAATACCAAAGGAACACAAATTGATAACAATTCATATATGACAAAGTTCCACATTTGAGAAACAACCAAAGTCCTTAGTCAACATGATCAACCAAAAAGGAACAGCAGATCGAGCCGAAAAAACCATACATTATTGTTTTGTAAATCAAATTCGAAATATAAACTTATCAGTGCTTGCTGGACCTCGATGGTTCCTTAACGATGGTAACAGGGCAAGGAGCATGCGTCATAACGTAGTTGCTCACACTCCCCAAGATAATCCTGTTTTTCATCAAACCAAACAATGCAAAAACATCAGTGATGACACTGAAACAAAGCAGGAACAACAAAAATACATCCTTTTTTATGACCATATACTGTGTACCTTTGAACGGTTCCAAGTCCTCTGCTTCCCATAACCATAGAGTCGAGCTTTAGATCTTCAATAGCATCAAGAATTTTTTCTCTAGCATCTGCTCCCCAGTACAGTTTTGTGATAACCTGTATCTGTAATCGCAAATATGATTATCAGCCTCAAATAAGCCTATGTATAATGGATACAAAAGATGGTCTTTTAAAGGTTAAAGAAAAGGAGAATTGCCTCTTTTTGTCTAGAAGCAGTGTCAAGCATGTCAAGAACTTCAATATCAGTTTTAACATCGTATTTCTTCATAATTTGTGGCTCTCTAAATTCTGTTAAAGGAATAAGAGCTGCAAGAATCGAAAAACAACCCAAGATTATATCAGATCAGAAATGAAAGAAAAATAATTTGAAGCAAGGAAAGAAACATACCAGAACCAGATTTGGCCCAGAGAACGTTGCGAGACTCATCAAGAGAGTTGGGGTTGATGTGGATGATGTAAAGGGTGTCTCCTTTGTCAGCCAAGTTATCTATAGCCCATTTAAGAGCGTTCTTGCTGGTACATGAGAAGTCCATAGCCACCCCTATCTTCCTATCTCCTGCCATTCTTCCTGCTCTATTTATTTGTTGTTGCAACAAGAATAAACAAGTTTTTGTCTGAACGTTAAAGATAAAGCCAAAAGTTCCCGAAATGCTAAAAGCAGGTTTCAAGAATGAAGAGATAGCAAGTGCATGGTTTTATATATATGGAAAGACAAAAGAAAAGACGAAATCTGAGTGTTTCCCTTGAAGTTGCAAGGCCCAAGAAAAAGGTTAATCTTGGACGAACACGTGTTCACAGGCCTTCTGATGGTTGGCATGAATAACAGTGAGCTTGCTTGGCTTCCATTCGATGATGTCGTGAAAGATATTATTTTCCTTACTTTGGTATTTACGTTGAATTTGTTTTTGTAGGCAAGTTGGTTATCACCAGTAGTTCTGAATGTTGAACAAAACTGATTGAATTAGCTTAGTCTACCTGCATAGTGCATAGGATAAACTTTGCATCCCAGTTATCGCCAAACACCTGTGAAAAAGAGTTGGCTTTTGGAGCAATTCAATTGAAGTCCAGAATAAGATCAATGAAACAAATTCAACATATTTTGTATTTCAATAATTGAGACCAGATCGCCTTTGACAAAATCAACAAGTTATCGGCAAAGCAAACATGTGTAAGACCAGTCGTCTTGCACTTAGGATGATATGAGAAGACCCCATATGAGCAACAGCAGCATTCAATAACTTGGACAATACATTCGTTGCAAGGACAAAGAGGTAGGAAGACTCATGTAGAATTGTTGTTTTGAAACGCAACTTTTATGATTGATCATTGTATAAAAATGTTGTTTTTAAACGTAAAGTTTAATGACCGACCTTTGTTTACCAGCTAAGGTTCCTTTAATTGCTAAGATCATTGCCCTAAAGACTTGATTAAAGTTTCTTTGTAGATAGGCTGCTTTGAATTTGTATTTCATTATGTAGGTTGTCATAACAAGCAATATTTTGGCCTCTTTTCAATATTTAAACAAGCAAAGGTTCTACTGCTGGATGACGTCCTAATATTGCTACTTCAAACCTTCCCTTGTCAAGCTGCCATTGCCATGTCTTATCTCAACAAAATAATACAAGCCTCAAGGCATAAGAAAACTAGTGTTTGGATGATGTGATAAACATTAGGCTTATAGTTATAGACATGAAGATTTTAATTAGAAAAAGCAGAAGTCATCAAATTAATTAAGCACATGGGTGTAATAAGTTAATGGTTTGAAATGGAATATAAAATAAAACTGAACGACCAAGAAAGTGACCCAAAGTAGCTGGTCGAAACTAATATTTTGGAAAGCTGCAACTGCCAGTCATCATAATCGGCCGAAAAACTACCAGTCATCTCTGTCTGCCCAAGCCGCAGATCTTGTAGGAGTCCAGGGAGCCTGGACTAGAAAACGAGTTGGTTTCCTGCCCAAGTCCTGGACCAGAAAATCCAAGCAAAAGATTAACGCTTGGGCCATAGTGATCTGCTTAATTATATAGTCTTCCGTGCAAGGTTTGCTTAGACAATAGGCCTTAATCACATCCCAGTCCAAGTCTAGGCTTCCAAATATGGTTCGGGTTTAACAAATCATCTTGGACTTGCTCTCGGGTGTTTAGTTTTCATAAGGAAGCCCAAAAATAAGGTGCACCCGAATTCTTGTGAATCAGTCATCAAAAATGGGTGAAGACTCTTGTTGATGCTGCCATCACAGTTAAAGCTACTTCAACAGCTTCAATTTCATGACCATGAAGTGCAGTTTTTGCATTCTTAGAGTTGGTTCATTCCTCCAGGCAAAACTAATCGCCGTCGAAATATATGAAAGCTATGCTTATGGAATTCAACAAGTGTTCTGCATGGATTAGGGAGATGGATGTGCGATTGTGAAAGAAGATTCTAACCGGCAGTTCTTCCTCCCAATCATATTGTTCTATCAGATTCAGGGAGATGACTCATCATCCAGTCATTTGTTCAAGTGTTGAGGAACGGGGAGCCTTCTGCCGTTGGAGTTGTTTTATATCTGGCATATAAAACAAAAGTAATTGAAGCCAACATTCTTAATATATATATATATATATATATATATATATGGAAATGGAGAAAAAGGCTATAAACAAAGAAAGAAAAAAGAACAAACCTAAGAGCACACAAGAGACAAGACCCACAGATTATTTAACATCAATAGATGGTCAAAGTTTGGGCCAAAAGAATCCCCCAAGAGTTTGTGTCGACAGTGAGAAACTCCCACCATAAAAAGGCAAACGACAAACTTCAGACACAAAACCCATCCTTCCCCAAATCAAGGGGACATGTTCCTCAATACTCTACTCTCTCCATACATTGTAAAACCCATTTGGGTACATTATCCAACTCTGTTTTGCTGTTAATTATTTGCGATTAATGATTTATTATCAGTAATCAGACATGTTTAAAGCTTATAGTTTTACAGCTGGTCTCCTACAACGCACTTAAACCAGCCATTTTTTGTTAATAACCTTTTTTTAATTTGATTGTGCATTGTTGATTAACATTTTCCTCAAAATCTGCCAAAGCCCAAGTGCCCAACAACATAGATCTTTTACTCTACTGCTTGGGGATTTAGTGGATTGGAATATTGAATTATGTGTATATGCTTTTCTTGCATTTTTTTTTCTTGGATGTCTTAAAATTTAATAAGGGCCATAACTTCAACCTGTCTGCTTCAATTACAATACAAAATTTATCGATATTTAGACAGGAACCAAAAAAAAATGGCTTAAAACTTGCCAATTGTCTTCCAATGACATATTAAAGTTGGAGAAACAAAATATGAATCATCAATTACAAGATATGCAAAAAATTTAGTGGAAAAAATTGATATGCCTATGAATATATTCGATATCAAAATAAAATAGCTCAACTGAGGAATTTTGTCACGGATATAGGCTTTGAAGAGAAATTGGTCTTCCAACTTTTACATTTTTTTATTTAATTAGACTTAATACTTGTATTAATACATGCTTCCAATGTTTCATTCATTTGATTAAAATTTGCAACAATCAATTGTAGGGCAATTGGCAGGGAAATTGTTGCTTACCACGTTCCCCCAGGCTTTTACAAACAATGGGCGGTGGCCTCTGATTCAAAAGACCTGATCCTCCAATCTCTTCCACGCACGCATGCATGTGAGAGCTAGGAAAAAGAAAGTTTAATTAGTAATATGATCAAGTGACTTTCCATAAAATGAAAGAAAAAGGGGCCAAATTTATTAATAATAGAAGATCCTCGTGCATTTCTGCCCACTCCGATTTGGTCCACGAGACCATGACTGCACGACAGCAAGTCCTTTAGGTTTGACTCAAGGGCAGGGGCAGCCTTCCTTTTGTACCCCCAATAAGCTATCTTCAACATATCCTTTCCCTTACGAAATTTGAATGCGTGGTCTTATTTTTTATTCTACTTTCTAAGATTTTGTTTGATCAATTGCTGATCTTGGTGATTATTGAAATTGAACACACCATCATTAAGACCAGCTTATGATTTGCCACAGCCCTCAAAGGTAAAAACTCTATTTGACTACAGTCTTGGGTCCATGGCCATTCTAGGATTGAGCTGCTGCTCATTATTTTGCTTTAATTCTTTCCGAGCATGGGAAAGATTGGGACCTACCAATACATATTTCCTTTATGTCATAGAGTTGGGCTAATCAAAGTACCCATATCATTTATATATAAAAGAGAATAATATATTAAACAACAACATAGAGAGCGTGTCATTGTGATATAACATAATTACATAAATATAGCTAGACAAATAGGGTGAAAGAATCGATTCTTAACTAATCAGATGTGTACAGTTAACGACGCATGTTAAAACAAGCGGAAGGAGGGGGAAAAAAAGGAAAAAAGAATTGATCAACAACAGATCAGACAGTTAAAACTACCGAATCAAATGAACTAATGCATCTACTCCATGTCATCTTCTTTTGACAATATATATAGTCCAAGTTCTTGCAACTCCAAAAGAACCTCATCTGCTTTTGGTCCCTCTTTTAAGATAAAGAAGCGAAGTAGTTCTAACAAGCAGCCCCTTATGACCAAAATATGACACCACACAGGCTCCTTATTATGCAGGAATTGCACCTAATGTATAATGTCAAAATGCAGAAAGGAGGTTATAATCATATTATGTCCTTAGAAACCTCCTTCAGTCATGCCTTTTCTTGTTTACTCTTTCCCAGTTCCTAACTCTAAGACTAATGTGAAATGGAGCAAAAGGGCTGCTCTTACTCTAAGGAATTCTCTTTCCTTGTTGCTTGAATGATTTCTTCCTAATTCTTTCACTCCTAGTTATTCTCCAAGGACTGCATTTAACCATCTATGAGCTTAAAAGACAGATTCCTTTTCAGTCTGATCTTTCATGCCTCACATTTTCTGTAAAAAAAAGAAAAAGGATAGGTACCCATTATAGATAATCAGTGGTTTAGCTCTATTGCAAAATCTGTTTCTTCCCCCTGCCCTCTAATCTAGTGTTCTATTCACTTCTTTCTGTGATCTGCAGAACAAATTTTCATTGTTTTTTCCATTGGATTAATTGTTTAACAGCTCCTTTCTATTGAGTTGATGATACATCAATTTAACACTGTCACAATCAGATGATGGGTTAATCTTTTTGACATAAACAGTATCACAATCAAAGCTACATCCACAAGTTGGGCACTCACGGAAATTATCAACATAAAAATCAGAAGAAGCAATCCCAATTGAGAAATTCCATTGGCAGTCTTTCTAACGGTAACTTTCAACAAACACATGGACTATAACAGCCTATTAAACCAACAATAAACATGAAACATCATATGTAAAAAGGATCCACTTCAAAACGAATGAATACAGAATAAAGAACCAACCATGTGATTGAAAATTACCGAGTCTTCAGATGAGAAAATTTCTTCAAAAACTAGGGCTGTGATGTGGAGGAAGAACTTGATACCTCAACCAAGTCAGAAAACTCTGTCGAGCCGCTCATTATTCGGAGGAGGAAAGAAGCTTCTGGTGGCTTTGGTGGAAAAAGGCCATGGCTTCTCCATGGAGCTGGAGTGG